AAGCGATCAAATGACATAACAGCATTATATCCTTCGTATTACTCGTTTTCTACCACTTTTTGTCGCATACGCGTTTCAACGAAAAGGCTGAGAACGGCTTCAAACAGTGTGCGCACTCCTACTGGCTGATACGCCCCGACAGTCCGTAATGATGAGGAGTGTAAGGGAATGCCAAAATGGTTCTGCTAGAGGTTATTTCAACTAAGTAGAGCGCAGTCATGTGAGACCAATAAAGGGCCAAGAAGATGCTAGAGTATCAGATGGGGCAAAGCGGCGGTGTAAACAAATCCACTTTGCACCGGGACGATGCCTGGCGCGGATTCTGGTCGTCTGCCTCCCATACTGCTCAACCTTGGAAGAGGAAAAAATCACTCTGTGGTCCTCCGCTTTGCCCCCCCCCCCACCCACTTGCACGCACCGCAGCTAAATCTCGGGTGGCTTCTCGGTTGGACGGACCAAACGTTCTATTTCTCCACGCTCGCTTAAAAGCACGGTCCCGATTAGGTACAGACGTTAAAAATAACGTTGGTCCGTGACGAACAATCCTGTACCGGTTTCGCGGCAAAAATGTGTATAGGGGGGGCCTATGACGTAAAGTGGGTTCAGTGGCGCCTCCTTAATTCCAGTGACTCCGCCTCCAGACTCCGCCTCCAAGGTCCTCCTTTCAGTGGAAAAACGAAGCTGCAGGACGAAAAAGCATGAAAGTCGTCACTTGTACGGTCGTAGAGTTCATATCGGGGAATCAGCTGTGCGGATGAGGGCGCCGTGTTGAAGATGGAGTTAATTGGGCACGCACAAACTGGGATTGGAATGAGGTTGTATCTAGGGCCGTTGGCATGTTTTTTCTGCTTTCTTCTCCACTATCGAGTTACTCAGCACCTTGTCGTCTGTATGCAAACCCCTAGTCCACTATCTGTGACGCGAATGATCGCGGGCTTTGCCTTTAATCGCTACTAAACTCGTCCTAAAAGAAAAAAAACACTTAAGTGAATCTTGGTTGCTCCTACCCCTTCCCAATTTAGTACCCTAAACAAATTGCATTCAAAGTGTTCACGACTGAATGGAAGTATTAGGTTGTCCGGAAAGGAATGCGCGTTGAATTTTTTGAACTTGTCCATTTTTTTCTCTCCTACTATAGAAGATTTTTGGAGACAGTTTTGTCTATTAGAGAAGAGATTTTTATTGTGCTTCTTTTGATATATTTTTGTCCATGTCTACTTTGCTTTTTTGGGGAAAAAAAGTTGGGAAGAGCGGGTGCCGCACCAGCTGAGCGACGCAAACAAGGCAACACGAGTGGCAATGGCCGGAATTCTTCTTCGTCGCTCCAAGAACAGCGGTTTTTTCGACTCTATTATTACATCAAATGAGAAAAGGGTCTGCTTCGATAACGCAACGAGAAAAGGACAGTGGTTAGACTCCAGTGACCCTCCAAAACGGACTCCGAAACCTGATATACGCGGCAAAAAGGTAGATCTCGTGTTTGGTGAACGGCAGAGGTTATGATAGTAGCTTATGAATTCTGGATCGGGTCAGAGCGTTAGCGGCGGACATCCTGCAAACCGCAGTTGAACCGCAATGGATCCAGCACTTGGGGCAAAAATCTTCAAAGTGTCGAAACGACGTCGACAAAATTTATCCACGACAACGCTCATCCACATGTGGCGAAAATCACTCTAGAAAAAAATTGAGGAATTGGGCTGGAAAGTCCTGCCTCATCCGCCACACAGATCAGACCTGGCACCATCGATTACCATCTGTTCCGGTCGATGCAGAACTCCCTGGCCGAGAGAAAATTCACAAACCGCGAAAAAGGTCCAACTCTGGGTGTCCAACTTCTTTGAGTCGCAGCCGGTCGAGTTCTTCAGAAGAGGAATCCATTTTTTTGCATAAATGTTGACAACAAGTCATTGATACTAATGGAGATTGTCTTTTGAATTTATCTTGTTTAATTTCGTTTTTATAATAAAAAATTTTTTAAGCTCGAACGCGCATTCCTTTCCGGACAACCTAATAGAAAGCTGGCACATCTCGGAGGAGATCAATCAATGGCGAGGGCTTCAGGAGCTTTTAGCTACTGATTTGAAGAAATATACACAAATAATGATCCTGGTGGGATTACTCACCAAGGAATGTGCTCAGTCACATATTTCTACGCATTAACTTTTTAATGTTGACAAAATAATGTTTAAAAAATTCGTCCTATCGTGAAGTCGCACAGAGCGAAGATATTCCATAATGACTATCACTGATCACTACAAAGCTGTGTTAGTTATCCGCTGTGGTTGTACTAGCTTTACTTATTACCACAGCTTCATTAAAAATTTTAATTCAACACGCAAAAATTGGCCACGTCAGCTGTTTCTATCTGAAGTCGAGTCTTTTTTCTCTCATTCTAATAACTGCTTCATTAAAGCTAAAGGAGTAACTGACGTGGAGGAGTAACGTGAAGGATTATGTGGAAAATTTCTATAATTAGGCGAACCACCGTCCCTCTCTTCTGTTACCTCGCTGAACTCAAAGAGCTCATTTCCTCAACAACTTCTGCTTGCTTTTCTGTTTCACTCTTCCAGGCCTTTATCTGTTCATCCTATTTATTTTATCTTTTATCTTTTTTATACTTTATTTTAACTTTGACGTTGATAAATACTCAATTCCGAACGAATGCACACTTACTTACCCTTTTTGAAGTGTGATAATGGCTGAGCATAATTATGGCGACCTCACAAAGACAGTCCATTTTGAGGAAGAAATCGTTCACAGAGCATCAAAGGAGAACATAACGGCAAAGAATGGTGCGTTGTGATCATTCACCAATGAAAAACGTCTCATACTTTGCCTTTTTTAGTTCTGCCAAATGAGGTTGTTAAGGAGAACCTCGCCAGACCTTTACCAGGCCTTACTTTTGACTACTTGGCTGTCTTCGGGGGTTCGACAACGGTCCAAACCAATTTTTGCAGGGAGAAAAACAAATGTCTCTCCTTCCTAGTGTTCCTGACATAGTGTCGGAAAGGAGCTGCGAGAAGCGCAAAGTCAACTCTTTAGAGATTCCTCGCATAAGGAGGAGCATGGGCTCTGCCCTGTACTGATTTTTAAAGGTGGGAGCAGACTACATCGCCGGTATATATGCTATTTTCACTCTGATTTCACGATTTTTGAAACAAATCACCGCATTTTTCAAAACATGAATTCACAAGACTTTTCCAAACAGAATCCACTTTTCGAATCAAATTCACGACATTGACACCCTACAAACTCCGCTCCTAGTAGCATATTTCCGTGTCGTGATTTTTCGAATTTTATTTTATAACTTCTGCAACTGTAACTTTTTGCACTTTTGTTGTTCCATACACACTAGCTGAAAACAACTGTACATCGGCACTGGGATCTCGCCCTTTTCTATAGGATTCGTTGCAAACATTTGATTTTTCATAACTTTTCAGGCTCATTTGTTTTCAACTCCCACCTTCACAAGAAGTCTCGTGAACGCATCGGCATCCTGCACTGGCAACTTGAGACTTCGCCCTTTTGCCCCACTTTGCGTCTTTCTGCAAAACTATGACATTTTTTCCGAATTTTTTGGCTTGGACTGTTGAAGCCTGCTCACTATGAAACCCGCCCTCAGAATGACCATTTGAGAAAAATGAGCAACAAGTTGGCAATGCAACAAGTCGGCAGTATAAAGTGTGAGCTTCCATGCTAAGACATTACTGATCACACGGAACGAATTTAGCCTGATTTATTTGTTCCGAGTGACGGACGAGACTCTAGCATAACTAACAAAGTCTCGGATCTGTTTTCAAGTCGTGAATGTTTGAAAAATCGTGAATTTGATTGAAAAGCAGAGTTTAAAGTGAAAATGGTGTATGAAATGGCAGTGTCAGATGACCCTCGAACAGGAGCGCCTTTGTACCGGTGACCGGTTTTTTTTCATAGCACACCTTAAGATCCTCAACTCATCGGCTACTCCCTAAATCTTCCCAGATAAGGGTGGGGGTGTGTAGTAGCAATTCTGAAACGGGAAATCAACAATGAATAAAAGATTCTGTGAACCCAGTAACTAAGCAGGATCACCTTGAGAGAACTCGCACAACGATTATGTGCAATAGATGGGACGGGACACGGGAACCAGCTGAACCTCATTTCTGTCGCATGCTCTGGTTCTTCGTTTGAACCCAAAACCCAATTAGCCTTTGTATGAGGTTTCCATCACGCACTATCACAGGGCATCGAAGTCATTCCCACTGTTTTCCCCCACCCTCTCTAATTTACAATTACCCAGGGCAGTAGCATAGCAATAGTAAAGATGAAAGGATCGAAAGGTGAGGTGAACTAGAAAAAACCATGTTCGTAACAACTTCTTTCGGCAGAAATAAAGACAGACGGCATAGTTTTCACAGACGGTTTTCCCCTAGTAAATTCCAAATATAAATATTTTCTTTCAGAAAACCTCTCTAGTGTGTTGGTGTTCTTGTTCTATGTTGCTACAACAACCGTTCTCGTAATGCTCATTGGATTCTGTAAGTTTTCCACTCAGGACACACAATCAGTTTGGGAAACTTTCGCAAGAAACGATCCCTCAAACTAACTCCTCCTATACAACCCCTTTCCTACCTGACATGATCCCAACTTTTCCCAAAATTTTGGCGTCGAACAGAGAAGTCAGGGGAGTAGACACCTCCAAGGAACAATCAGCACTGGGAGATTGCTGCCGCCAGCTGAGGAAGGGGGTATGGCGCGGGTTAAACTCGGACTAACAATCAGAAATATTCTTTCTATAGAAATCTATCGTTTTCCCTCTACTTACTCTTTACTGCTCCAGCTCTCTTATATTCAGAACAATGGACTGACGTGGTAACGCTACCGCATGTCAAGTAGGCTGGCTAAGTAATGAGGGTATGCGATAAGACAATTGAGAAATTTCGCTTCGGTGGGCGGGGCGAGCGACGCTGCTCCCGATGGACGAGTTGTCCTGCCCGGCCGTTTTCAACTGCGTCTTGAAAGAATGGGAAAGTTCGGTGGCGCTCATGGTGAATATCATCTCTGCTTGAATTCATAACAGTTTTCCTGCTCTAATAGACAAATTGGTGTGCATCGAGAATTACTCGCGCATGGCTGCACGATGCGCCGCGCTGCAACGCGCCAAATAGCGATCGTCCTGTCTGTTTCCCAGGAAATAACCTGTTAGTCCACGCGCTATCCCTCGCCTCGAACATCCTGTACTGCACCCTGTGAAAAGAAATCACATGAGAGTTTCGCCTTGAGAGTGGGGAAACCTGGAGAGAATAATCAGGCTAACTAGCTCTCAGAGCTTCGAATTCAAGTACGTATTGATGGGAGCCAGAATGCAGCCGAGTCGGAAATTTTATCTTTAACATTTCTATTTTCAATGAAACTGCCGACTTCGAACCTTTTTTGCAGGGATTCTCCTTATGCGAATCTATCCTATGACTTACGTGATGCCGCTGATTATTGTAACACTTGCAGGCTATCTTCTTCTATTTGGAAACCTTGGTGTTGCTTGCCTGTGAGTTTCTATTTCCAGTCATTGGTGAAAATTAGCTATCAGAAAAGTAAAGGCTATCAGACGATTGGGAGTGCCATCCACTTGTACGCGTTTCTTCATAGAAGGCAGAGGTCACGTTAATGAAGGGGCGGGGCGATCCGGGCGAGACTCAATCAACCAATGCTGAGAAGTCTTGTCGAGCCTTATGCTTCTCGCAGTGGTTGGTTTCCTGGAGGCTGCTCGCATTGCCTACGTCCACGCTCCCGCTGGAACCTTTAACTTTGCAGTTCTGAGATTGTTCAATCCCTCATTTTTTCAGGAAATCACGGGCCACTTCAGAAGGCGCTGCACCACGAACTTTTCAGCCAATTTAGATCCCGCGAAATTGGTCCGAATCGGGATCAAGACAGGGAGAACAAACAACCCTGTTTCTTACTACTTCGATCTTGTATTCATTTTTATGCTTTGTAAATTCATTGAATTACCTGTTTCTGTTGGGAAGGAACACTATAGTGGTCCATTATAATTGCCAACGAGTGTTTCTTACACCCACGCATGAACGAGATGTTAATGTGCCTAAGTAGTAAATGCTGGAACTAGTTTGGTACTAATCAATGCACTTGTCTATAAACAGCTTGAGGAACACATCGAGAGCCCTCGAAGTATACACTTACTTACGAACTGCACCTTCCACTACCTCCCACCATGCCGTTACCAAATCCCATCGCCAGAAACCTCGAAGTTGCTTGTCTATCAACCATGCCACCGAGGCCAACACCCCTCACGCTTCCATGGCTTTTAAAGGGATGGCCCCACAGCCCACCATGTGTTTAACGTTCTCTTTTTGCCTCAAATCCTATGAATTACCTCATCAAACAGTTAGCTGCATTTGAAACTCAAAAGCAAGGACACAGGAAGACAGTAGCTATCAGTGATACCTCAAGAACATGATCTAGGGCAGACGCCAAGGGTGCGGCAGTCACTGTGACTGAGTAAAACGGGATACAGCCGCATCAGTAGCCCGTAGTCGCCACAGGTATCTTCTACCATTCACTTGAAGGCAGAACGCGCCGATTATTCGCTAATCTCAGATGGTCCGGATAGGGTTCCAATAGACGGCAATGGGCGTTTGGTAAACTCGCCGCTAAACACAAATAAAGCATTCAAAAACATGCCACCTGCCCTAGATAGAACCCCATTTCGATCCCAGTTTGTACGTGCCCAATCAACTCTATCTCCAAAACTACGCCCTCATATGCACAGCTGATTCACCGATAAGATTTCTACTATCGTACAAGTGACGATTATCATGCTTTTTCGTTCTGCAATCTCATTTTTCACTGGAAGCCGGTCATTAGAGGCGGAGTCTGGCAGGCCGATCACTTGGAAAAAAGTGAGGAAGCCACTTCAACCGCTATTGCGTAGCAGGCCCTCCACAGAATTTTTGCCGGCGAAACCGTACAAGTTTGTTCTGTCGCGGACCCACTCTAGTCTCTGACGGCATTTTTCAACTTTCGATACCTGTTCGCACCATCTTAAGGTAATCGATTTTACTTTCTTCCACATTCTGTGATTATTCCTGGTACTGTTAATCTGGAAGATTCCATCATCAACGTAGTGCATGAAAAAGCCTAGGGATCAACATTTACGTACTACATATCCATTACTTCGTCGACCTTGATGAAAAACACCCGGCGTTACTTGACACTTGATCTCACTCCAGATCTGTACGCTTGAAAAGCTTGCAATCCACCTCGAAGACACAGTTCCTGATTACCTGGCAACATGGATCAGGATAGAGCGTCGTAGGGAAAATTGAGGTCGTACTAGGGTGCAGATTAGGGAGGTTATACTTCTTTAGGGGATTCGTAACTGGCTTCGATAGAAACTGCTCTGAGCCGCGAGGAAATTTTTACGGTTGTCGACTTTTTGCTATTTTAGTGTTTCATGTGCGCTATAGATTCTTGAAGAAGACTACAACGATGGGATTGGAGACAATGGTTAAGAGTTGGGAGCTTTTAGGAGGATGAGAGATGAGATGGGAAAAGGCGGATCGTTCTGACATCGCTACTTCACCCATTTCGATGCTGTAGCCTGGATAGAATCGTTCTTGTGTCAAAGTTGCCGAGTCTGCCGTCGCATGAGGCGTACCACATTCGCGAGTTGAAAGTACTTGGCAAAGCTGCCAAAGGCCTGTTAATTCTGCAATCTACGCGCACTTATGTGAGGGTCCACCCATAGTCTCTCAGCTCGGATACACCTGTCATAGAGCCTCAGAGAAGTTTTTTGGGGACAACTACCTGTAT